CACTTTTCTTATATTTAAGTCGGCAGAGATTAACTTGCGAAAGAGGCAAATGTCAAATACAAACATTAACTAAAATCGAAAATTCAGATAGGACAATTATTTCAATATCGATTTATCTGTAACGTGTCTAAGGAATCTGGCTGACATACTTCGACAAGAGCATTTTTGTATTTGTTTTCGTCATCCTCTCGCAGTTCCAAATACACAACCGTTCAGTTTGAAAAGCTCTATACTACATGTCATAATGAAAATGTTGTTCAAGCTCAACGACGACTACTCCTCCCCCCCCCCGGAGGAAAGTACAACAGTGTTTTGCCTTCACCAGTTATGCTTCATTAGTTTTATCATGCACTTCAGATAAATATCTGCAGTTATTCAACAAGATCGGCTTTCAAGCAGAGAATCGAATATGCATATGTCACTTCTCTGAGCCCCTAAAACACTAAAACATAAAAGTGCAAAAGAGAAGAGGCAAACCAACAAAATTTATATGACATTTCTTTGATGACTCAGTCGATCAGCTTATGAGACAATGTGATAATTATATAGAGTTCAGTAGTAACCTTCAAAACGAACTGCTTTGTGCTCCTAAGTTTTGAAAAAAGACAATGTCTACAAGCAAAGAACCTTTTTATTCAGACATTTTAGCTTCCAGTACAAAACTCGAGAATACTTCACAAATCGATGTAGCCTAATCACAGTACCATCAGAGTAGGTTCTACCGGTTAAACACGATGAATCTGTTACTGCATTACTATACTGTTTAAGCTGTAGCCATAGATGACAATGACAAAACAACAATTTCACAAACATGAGCGGCTTTATATTCCGCGGTTGTATCATCTAACCACTTATCTGGACTCACCATGGCACCCCATTAAAACCGAACTGCAGAATAAGCCCAACGACAAATACACGTCCACCAATGACTTTAAATTTTAAAATCATCATCAGTATATAAACAAATCTATTTCAGTCAATAAAAATAGGTATGAAAAAATTTCGACCTTAAAAACCAGTTAACATATTACAACGTAAACTAAAATGCTAAATTTTGTCAATTTTAAACGTTACTGCTTGGACAAAATGAATAGCGGGTGTAGATGCAAAAATCTATATACCTAATAATTATATTGGCGTAGAATGAAACAGACTTCTATATTATTAACATCATCATCAGCCTTGTTCG